GATGACGACGGCAATGATGATGTTCAGCATGATGTCGAAGATGATCCGATTGTCGACTCGCGTCGGCGTCTAGAGCACAACATCATGAGCAGTATCACCGGCAGCAGGCACAACTATGAACAAGGCCAACCCAAGCCTCAGCTCGGGGGGTGCACAGCCCACCACAACAACGAAACCACAGGGGCGGGGCGGGGAAGGGCACCACCACACACCCCACCTCACAGGAGGGGCGGGGGGGGATACCATGGGGTGGTAGGGGGAGGGGGGGTATGGCAGCCCTGCATAATATATATATATATATATTATACATACATATATATATATAACCAAATACATAAATAAATATGTACTTGCACCATTTACAGGTTGTGCATGAAGGAAAGTATCATGCATGCAGACACATACATACATTCAGGGATGTATGTATGTACGTATGTATAGATACAGAGATCTAGATCGGTTGAGCCTGCCTTCATTCACTTTTTGATCCACGTGGCGTTCGACGCTGAAGATGACTGCCTGCCATTCTAGCTTTGACACAGGTATGTGCGTAGGAAGATAGTGCTGAGCACAAGATCTGTCCAGTTTCCAAGGCTTCCCAGTTTGTGTTGCATCAGTGTTGCAAGCAGACAGCAAAATGCCTACATCCGAGCAACGAGCCGCAAGATGGTTGCCGACAGGACCGAGGAGACCGAGTGGGCGCTCCTCTCACGCACGCGACTCGACGCCCTGCCGGACTGCATCTTCGAAGCAGCATTGATCTGCATGCGAGCTTGGCCATAGTGACCGTTAGATGGTCGTCGTCATCGTTCTCCCTAATTGATTGCCATAAACACCTTCTGCTTCATAGACCAGCATCGTTGTCACAAGCAGGTGTTGGTGCTGTTGCTTTCGATGATGATGTTGTTGGCGATGAGGATGAGAATGGGGATGGTGACGGTGACCATGGCGACAATGTTGATGGAGATCGAGGTTAAGCACCATTTTTGCGGATGCGATTGGCACTCTTTGTTGCGGTACGCATGATTGTCGGCAATTTGCTGCCTTCATGTTGGTTAGAATGTCGACCGACCTGTGGCGTTTCTGACGTGCGACGTTTAAATCTTCTCAGAAGACGCCCTTTGATCCTAACTTCCTTCCGCAACCTGCCGATGAGCGCGTCGGGTAGAAGGTCAGTGAGTGAAGCAGTGCCATGCGTAGAAGAGCTACCTTTCAAGTGTTGCTGTGATTGCTTTAGTAGTTGTTGACACGACTCCCGAGCCCCAGCAGGAGTATCTCGCCAAGCGCTTTGGAAGACCCGGGGAGGTGCGACATTTAAGCTTCGCTTAGCATGTGCATTCGTGCCCGTGGGTAGTAGGCACGTGCAAACGTGTATGTTCTGTTTATACTAGACTTGGGAGTTGCAGACATATGATATACGACCCTGACCATACTGTCACAATTCTCGATGGTTGTGGCAATGGAAAAGATATGGGCGTTGTATCAAGAAGAAGTGCAGCAGAGAGAGCAACAGTAATACGAAAAAATAACAGTACGACTGGTTGCAAGGCCCATACTCAAAGTTTCTGTCAGTATTTCTCAGCTACTAATGACTAGTGTTTGCCAGCATGAGTGCTCAATGTTTAAATTGCTGATGCTAGCATGCGCTTTCACGCTCTATGGTGTGACATGTGTGACAACTCAGGCAAGACCCAGGTCATAGAAAATGTGGCAACAGCAGCAGCACAAAACGAGTAACAAGGACTATTGGTTTCGCACGGGTTGCAAAAAAAGAATACTGCCAGCAAAGGTTACCAGCGCGATGAAAGAAAGCATGCAGCAAGCCTGAACGATAGAAGTGGAGGCTGTTTAATTTGTGCGTTGATTCAAGTAGTAGCTGTAGCAAAGAAACAACTTGGACGACATTATGATTGTTCGGACTGTTGAAGGCCACTGTGCGCTTCTGGGTGAATGGCGAAGAGCAGGCCATGGAAGAGGGCTTTGATGTCAGGTTTCGGATCGAGGGCATTTAAGGTTTGTAGGCTTTGGAATAGGGTTCGGCGGTTTATCATTGAGAATCTGAATGCCAGCTGGCTCTTCCTCCGCTGCAAGGAAAGCTGCATGCCATGTTCGGGTAGGTCATCAACTCCGGGCAATTCCCGCTGACCATGAACTTGGCCGAATACATGCGCTACCATGCAGGACCCCGGCTTCCAAGTCAGGGCTTATCTGTTCATTCATCCTTCAGTCCAGGTCACCTCGGATGGCAAAACTGCCTCTGACCGAATGAGGGCAATCCAGCGAGAGTCGGCTAGGTCACGCAGGAGGGCATAGGCAAGAGGCCCAAAGCTCGAGCAACCTTGAGCATTCTTTCGTGCTTTTTCCCCCTGACGTCGTGAAGGACTGCCTGGAACCAAGATCGGTTGTGGCGAGGTGCGAGCTCTGACTCTTCAATAGTTGACTGGCAGATGTCTCATCTACTTGCTCGTCCGGTCAAGTTAAGAGTTTAGACAGGGGAGATGATCGACGAAGTGTAGCATGTACGTAGCACGATCTCCAGCAGGGGTTCCAGCTTTACTGGCCAGGGGCCGGTTTTGTTAGACTTCCGGTCGGCAGTGGCTGCCGTTGTCCACATCCGAAGCTCCCCTAGGGTTCCTCATTATGAAGACCATAGCATACCCCTTTTACGAAGGTTGCTATACTACGCTGCTCCTTGTGTCACTCTCAACATGGTTGCAGGGTGGCTGCGGAGCCTGTACCGTCTTGCTACGCCGCGGCGATGCACCTCTTTTGCAAGCAATCTTCGCGCTGCGTTCTGTCTCACGTGCCGGGAGGTCAGATCCCAGAGTCCATGGATACACCACTGTTATTTACGCCTTGAAATTCAAGCATGGATAATAATTCGCATGTGTGCATACGGCCTTGCCAGTTTCAACCAGCTCGTGGCTCAGTTGCTCTCCTTGAAAGCCGCCCCGGTGCTTTGCAACGCCTGCTTGCGGCCTCTGCACTCGAACCTCGGCAGCACAGTAGGCACTGCCCTACGACCGCCAATTCATTCATGCGCAAGTATCATCAAGTATCGGTGATGTGTGCCTGCCCTGAGTCGAATGCCATCAAGAATGACGATTTCGTTCATTCCTTTGCAGTCGTTGCAGCTGTTCGGTTGTCTGCTGGACATCCCAGTTGGGTGGTAATGTAGTGGCCTTTACCCAGTCATGCTGTCTTACACGAATTGAGTGAGGCGCCAGTCTGTCATCAAGTACCACAACCAAGGATGAATGGGTACGAGGTCACCACAGTCGAGGAAGTGGGTGGCTCGCATCAGTTTGACAGTTTGTGGACAGCTCGCAGTTACTGTCATGGAAACGGAGTTTTAGGAAGCAGGGGACCCCAGTATCGAGCCCCAACAGAAAGATACTAAGATACTGCTTTCAAGCATGTCAAAGTCATTATGGTGCAGGTACCGTTTTTGTCTAAAGGAATCCCCAGATGCTGGGTCCAACGCCTTCCTGAGGCACGCCGGACAAGCCGCATGCCATCCAGTCGGCCATCGCCAAGCACAGCGCGAGCCAATGTGGCATCTCGGGTTGCAGACTGTCGGGCCGTTGGGCCTTGCCTCGTTGCTCTTAGGACAGCAGTTTTTTCGGGGTTGTGCTCTTGGCAAGGACGGCAGGAGGGGATGGGATTCCGAGCAGGCGCATTGAACATCCTTGAAAGTTGGGGCATCCATAGCACGGGGTCCATGCATCTCGTGTTAAGCATGTCTGGGCAGAGTCATGGGCATCGGCAACTGCTCGCTGTTGTAAGCTGCATACAAGACCACGGACTGCGATTCACAGCGAACCACGCGGTTGGCTCTTGAACCGGGGACAGAAGGTAGTTGAAACCATCGAAAGGCCATGAAAGGCCCATTGGGCGAAATGCGATGTCGGAGTCCACAAGCGGAGGCATGTGCACACCTGGAATGGTCATGGCGCTTTACGGGCACCTGGCCAAGGGAGGCTCCAGGGAGCCGCAGGACCGGGCCTAGTCTTCTGTGGGTGGGCCTCACATGTGTATGCATGTGTACAGCTAGCAGCTAGCTGCTGGCTATGATTTTAGTTCCATATCTACCTTGTGTGTATATGCAGTTATGAAGGCATGCCACGAGTGCATGCATGTACCTGTACCGAACTCCTGCCGGTATACACGTGGGGAGGCGCTTGTGTGCAGTGGTAGTCCATGCCTATGTCCTCACAACCCGCTTCTCACCCTGACTTGCCGTTTGTTTGCCCGCCTGTACCTCTGTATCCAAGTGTCTCCTTTTGTGCACTCAGAGTCGAGAAGTACAAATGTCAATTTGCCAGGCGATTGAGGGCTGCATCCAAGGGAACCTGTGCCGATGCACCGGTTATCGCCCCATCCACGATGCAGAGATCTTAGCAGCTTCAAGGTCAGCCATACCTTTGTTGCAGGGGAATCTTTGGGTGTTCCTGCGCGAGACCACAGTTTGCAAGTTCGACTTGGCTTGAGGTGATTGCTGCAAGTCTAGGAGAGAGTCTGCGAATCGTCACTGTAGGCGTGATTAAGCCAGTTACGCTTGGCCTTTCTGTCAAGTATAGCAGACTCCGAAAGAACCGCACACCTAGACTTAGACCTAGCCTTGCAGTTCCCAGAGCCTGTGAAATTTGCAGCAATCTCTGTCGCCACAGATCCGAGGCCATGAAGGACGCTGCATCCCGGCCAGACTGCACGGCGAACGTGGGAGAAATCAAGGACCTGGTGGAGAGCAGCAAAAGCTCCTGTATTAAGCTGATGATTATTTTGGCTTGGGCTCTTAGGCCCATGGTCCACAGACTTATCGTGTTTCAACTTGGCGAAAGCTACTGGAATGCCAATAATGAAGCGGCTCAGGAATACCGATTGTTTGCAAGCGACGGTATTCGGACACATCGCTTCTGTTGATCATTGGCAACGTAATCTTCAAGACCGGGGTTTCTGGGGCCATTTTGTATCTGAATCATAGATGTGAGCCTGCCTCAGCCCCTTCTTACGAGCACTGTTGGAGGATGCGAAGCTGCAGAGCTCCGTGCTAAGCCGGGATGGTCAGCTGTGGCACCATGGCCTTATCAGGCTATTCGCTTTGCCTAAACTTACTGGCCACACCTTCCGTCTCATCACATTGAGTTACGTTGCTTCCTCCGCGGTTGTTGCTGCTAGGGTCTTTCACACTCGCCGGCAAACCACGGCCACAGGGATGCGAGTGATCCCAGAGCATTGTTGAAGGCCACCTATTTTCATCCTGAAACCCCTCCAGACATGAGTCCAAGCATCTGAGCAGCGGCTACAAGATCACCCTAGAGCCTCTACATGTTGGGTAAGGTTAGACTCATCGCAATCACGATGCAAATCACTGCTTGGTTCGGTCGTTCCAGGATGTTGGTATCAGCTTAGACGGATTTGAGCCTGGATCATTTCCCTTTTTGAAGCACCCTCTTCCCCAGCAAGAAACGTCAACGGGTGTGTGCCGTCAACATTCAGGTTGAACTGCACCGCCTTGGCCGATGTCTTTCCGGCACTGAACCTTGGAGTCCGGCAAAGATGCTAAGTGAGCTGCAGATACCCAAGGCGGATGTGATGTAGCAAACTTGTGTGCGAAGTGACAACTCCTTGCTTTCATCATTCACCGATCGACACCGAGGATCTTCATGAGTCGATCACTTCGATTGTTGCTTTATTATGTTCTGTCGCCATTTTGGTGTGAGTATCGAATTCGAACTTGTCTTCTCCCACCCTCCCTATATACCCCATGTTGTTTATTCCGATTTCCTCTGCTTTCAATCTAGTGGCACCGACCGGGAAACGGTAGGTCCTCCCTATTTCGATATGAACACGTCCGTAGGAAATGCGAATGACACATTCGAGATACCCATTCAGATCGCATAACACGTCACCGATGCGAAAGCAGTTGGCAGAAGGCATACGCATCAGGGATCTTGGCTTAAACTGTCAAAGCGTTTGTTGGTCCTTATGCGTTCTTATATATATATATACACACATATACACACTACATACGTTTCTAGATACATACACATACATGAATACATACACGCACATGCAGACAGATCCACGTACATACGTGTACACGTACATGCACATACACACACAGATACGCATATACACACACAGACATACATATACATACACATGCATATACAGCAGTACCTGCAGATACGCAGACGTGAATATAGTGGTACCAGTAACGATCATCGGCCGAATGCTAGGAGGGCCTCCTAGGACTTGTTCTCGCAAAAGCCCGTGTTCGAGTACAGTTGCGAGGCTTCAACGACTGAAGTGCGGCGGACATGTAATTTCTACAGCAAATCGCAGACACATCAGGCACCAGGCTGGCATTAGGGGAGTTTGAAAAGCCGCCAAGGACGTATGCTGCGGCACTTCCACATCGACTTGTTGTAGGTGCCTTGGATGGAAAAGGCTATCTAACGGGACATGGCAAGCATTGTGATTATGATAGATTGTAGGCCAGATCAATCAGGCACTACAAATCGGTCCGGGAGCAAGTTCCAACGCTGGTCAATCTCACTTAAGACCATAATGCAGCTTCGGCTCTCGGGTTGCTTCAGTCGTACACCTTTGTCCTCATCGGTTGATCTACAACAAAATCATGCCACGATGTCGACTCAGGGTGACGACTCAACCTGGCGCAGCTGAGGCAATACAAGCACAGGGGTCATCAAGTACTACTCACCTCACCCGAACGACCATCCGACCGTTTTCATCAACGTCCAGACGCTCGCCTTACGGCTAAGGCTGCTTAAGGTTTCAGGAAGGGCAGCCCAGGCTTGGCTAGGCCGGAGGTGCGGTGCAGGGGGCTAAAGATGCCCGGCGCTAGGCCACAGCTCCTGCCAGGAACGTCGGTGAGATGAAAGCCATTGAGCACAGCGCCAAGTCGTTGACGCTGGGAGCCGCCTGCACCTTGAGCACGATGATCGAGGACTGGAAGGTAAGTCGCATCTGCGCAGGCTTTGGAGCAGACACCATGCTCGTGCAAAATTTGCACACATTCACGCCAAAGTCTCCGACAACGCAAGTTTGCAATGCCTGTAACTGGACAGTAGTGACTGTCACGCAGGAGATTGACAAAGCAACAGCCGCTGGCACTGCACAAAGTTCCTGCTGCTCTTGCTTCATCCGTGCTGGGGCGTTGGATAAGAGGAGGTGGACGGACGCTGGCAGGGTTGCCCTCAATTCAGATTTCATGCTCGCTGTCAGCTGCTGCTCCGCAGCGCGCCAGCCATGTGAGCGTGTGCCCTTTTGCCATGACCAGGGGTCCAAACTCGGTTCATTGCACCGTAGATCGTTTTCCAGAGCTACCATCCTGTAACGACAGACAAGTCCGACTTCAGAGTCTGCAACATCCATCCACTATCCCTTTCGATGCCCACTGTGTCTGCGTATGCGCATGAACTTCCTGGACCAAGGTTGCTGCACCACAACTGGCGGCTATCGTCCGACATTTGAAGCTTGCTGCTTTGTCAGAAATTAGTCAACCCTCGCCCGGAAATGCCTGGTTCCTTGAAGACGTCTGAATACGTCTTCAGGCTTTGTGCCGTATCTTCACTGCTTGATCGTGCAACTCAATACAAGAGCTTCAGTGGTTACCTTTTTCAGTATGAAACCATCTGGCCCGAAGCGAAATGCCCCAATCTCTCACTGCCGGTTCGACAGGTTTTCCACGGCGACAGCTGGACTCATGTTCTTGTGCATCTTTGCAAAAGCGAAATGCGCAGAGTCTGCCCTAAAACAGGCGAGCCATTCTCAGTAAGGAGCATGCGCTGCACTCCAGGATCACGCTCGCATGATCTAGTCCCTGAGCCCGAGGTGGCGCATCCGCAGGTCCGTGATGTGGGCAGCTGGGCCCCTCGCACGAGATTGAGGCGTACCTTCTAGATCCTTGCAGCCCTTCGGGTGCGGGAGTCTGCTGAAGGATATGAGTAGCTGAGGGCTGCAGCACGTGATTCTGTCGCACGCGGCCACTCTTCTGCTCTCTCCCGAGGCTGGAAACGTCATGATCGCCAAGACTCACCCAAACTTCCCGAGTGCCTTTCCCGCACGGTGGCACGAAGTCTGTGGTGCACCTGTACAGAAATACTCCAAGTTGCCAGACACGAACCTCAAGCTTGTTTCAAAATCCAGCAATGCTCTTCGGCTGAAAGTCTGGAGTGCGAATATCCAAGCCGAGGTGACGTCTGCCTGCTTTTGACCACACTCGGTGCAGAGCTGAAGTTGATGGACGAAGATCGCAAAATTCAGCGCCTTGGCTTTCTGTAGCCGAACTCCCGGTTCAATCAGTCTAAGCCCATTACACGAAAGCTGGATTCAGGTCGGTAGACATTGTGACATTCCTCACTGATGCGACACTGCCGCGAGGGGGTGTCACTCGGCTTCAGTGTTCAACTGTGGCGGCTGCCGTCAGAGACCGCCGGGGCAAATGGGAGTAAAGTCTATGAGATAAATGTATCCCGAAGGCAAGTCAGCCAGTGTGAGAGGATGGGCCTTCAGCCGGTTTTTGTGAGTTGAGTCCGCTGGGGGGGGGTGGATCTCAGCAGGCTTTTCTCAGCCCCGGCCCTGACTGGCAGGCAAAGCCGCAGATCATCCACAGCGTCACGATCCCTTTCCCAGGCCGGCCCCTGGGCCCCGTGAGTTCAGCCCAGAAATCAGGGTCCCCACGTTTCGTGCGGTGCTGAACACGCTCGGCTGGCTGCACAGGTGCAAACACCTACCTCGATACCTTCAAGATCATGCGAAGGCACATGCATCTTGTCGCATTCAGTTAGGTACGCCGCCACCTGATCCAGCCTTGCCGGACCATGAAACTATCTTCGTCTTCCCTCTCATGTGCACAGTGGCACAGTGGTGGACGCCTTCAGGCACGTTTTCCGCCTGGCTCGCGCAAGGCTCCACCACTCACCTTGGTGTAACAGTGTAGAAAGCGGTCGGAGCGCGCCTTCCAGATGCATCTTGCAGTGGTAAGCCTCTCAGGCAAGTCCTCGTATCTTCACACCGAGTTTCTTGCTGATTGACGAAGGCTTGCTCCCGGCTTCCGAACCTTCCGGATCCAAGGAACACTCACGCGGAGCTTAACGCGGGCTTCTTGTTCCAGTTTGCTGCAGACGGCGGTGTGGGCGTCTCCGACGTGAGGCAAGCACACACGGACATTGTAGACAGGGCTGAACTCCCATGTGACAGGTTTAAGCAGAATAGATTGTTGTCTATGTTTTAGGTGCACCGGGAACACTCCGCTCATTCCGCCGGTACGGCCCAAAGAGGATGGTTTTCGGCAATGTCGAGCACAAGCCGTTCATCGCGGACGGGACGATCAAGGACGCCTGAGTGTTCTGACAAGTAAGGGTACTAGAAGGCCCTATGAGGGTACTAAGGGGTGCTGAACGACTAATTAAAAGACTCAGCTTTAGACTTTCAGTTTGGAGCAGGCACGATGTTTCCAAGCGAAATTGTCCGAACCCACCAGGCTCTGCGTGGTCAGGCTCTGACATCGGACACCATCCAGAGCATCGGTATGGCAACTTGCCACATCAAGTTTAACGTTTAAGGCCGTTTGGACTGTGCAGGACTGAAAGCCTCTTCGGCGATTGATAACCGATCCATGTTGAAGGAAGAGTGAGGAGGGACAAACTTGTGTGCTTATGGAGCCTGATGTAGAAGAGTCGCAAGAGATCCGAAGGGCCTTGGCTTTGATTGTCCCATCGCGAGCTGCACGGTGAATCCTGCATGCATGAACCTTGAGGGTTCTCTTTACAGAAGAAATGCTGATCACTCAGGTGCTGCGCGCTGAGATCGAGGTGCTCTGCATTGCGGATAGCCAATGCGGTTCTTTGTTGGCCCCCTGTAAGTTGACCCTTCTTCAGTTTAGCCGCACACCCTGCAGGCACACATCCAAGGGCCCTCTGTTCCGGAGCCGCCCTTCCTCGTTGTGGACAAGGAGTACCGTGTCAATCTGGCTGCTGGGATCAAGTTTCGCTTTGTTCATTGCGCAAGCCCTACACGAAGAGATCACAGGCTTGCTCTCTGCTAAGTTCTTGCGGAACTCCATTTTCCTGGACTGCCAAGCCCGTTTTCAGGCAAACCCCGAGTACCCCTCACATCCCATCACTTTAAAGCGACCCCCGCTTTTTAAAGCTGGACTCCGAGGCCTGCAACCTCTTCGCCAAGGCCGCGCTCCGTGGGCGCCAGGCCCGAGGTGCGGTGCTGACGCCGGAGGCAGGGGAGCTTTCCGCAGGGAGCCGCGGGTATCCGCAGCTTGAGTGTGCCGCCACAATCTTCGAAAGCTGCTATAGGAATTGAGCGCCGCCACAGCACCGGAGCGGATGGAGAGTACCGGGGATCAGCAGCTCGTCTGGCAGTGATTCGAGCATCCAACGGAGTGAGCTCCAAGCTTAGCAATTGACTTTCAGGAAGTTCACGGTGGACCCAGCGACGGCGCCCATTGGCCAGCCTCTGGAGAAGTTCCAAGCGCTTGACCAAGCCTGTGGCAGCTTTTCTGCAACTTTGAGCTAGCTGTCCAGACTTCTTCCTTGTCCCTCTCAATGTCATAGGCTTCGTTTTCTCCCTCCCGGCTCTTGTCTTTGCATGGTGGAAGGCAGTGGTGCTTGATTTCTTGTGCTGTGTCCGGTCAGCTGGCATGGCCAGGCTGGACATGTCTCGTGATGTTTGAGATGTCCTGTTTGTCACAAAATTGTTGCGTCCGGCTTTGCTTGGCTGATGCTGTGTCACGAAGGCCTGCAGCTGTTGCCGTCTCTGTCTCAAGTACATGCTGCCAACCTGTTGCCAGGACATGGCAGAGTTAACAGCAACACTCAGGTACTGCGCAGTATGTGGCAGACGAGCCAATTCGACCCCGCACACTTTTTGGCGTTCCTCCGGCTGCCATTCAAAAGAGGATTGTGAAAGGGCTAAGCCACAATGATCTCATGGAATGCTTCAGCTTTTTGAGGACTACGACTGCCTGACTCTGACCTTCTTTTCCTTTGTAGACTCTGAGGTTCCTGTCCTCGCAGAGAAAGTGGCCGTGGTCAAGTGTGCCTCGGCTCTCACCATCAAACATAAGAAGCATCGAGCCACCCCACATCTTAAGGCATCGATGTGGTGGAGTGCATGGAGGTGGCCGGCGTGACGAACTTCATCTCGGCCGCAGACGTCAAAGAGTTAGGACGGGACAGGGCTCTGCATAAAAGGGACTGAAGGGATTCATCTCTTCGTTCGATGGCCATCCAGTATCCAAGCGGTTGCAGACTGTGGCTTGGAGGTGCGGAGAACGACTTGAAGCCGACCTGCCCAACGAAGGCCCATTCAGTGATGGTGCTTGCACTCCTCTTTGGTTCATTTTCGATTCTGTTGCCATGCAACCCAAAAAGCCCCCGATCTGCCAGATATTCGCAGACACGACGGAGCCCACCAAGTGTCGTGGCCGAAGATATTCAGTCGTAGAGGGTGGGCAACAAAGCGCCTCACATGACACCGTAGCTCATCTTGGGTGTCTGTCCAGGCATGTCGCACAATTCGTCGGCATGGTCCTAGCGGACACCTTGGAGGCTTTTGTGGACGTTCCAGTCAAGTTAATTCCGCATCGCAACGACAAAGATTGTTCACTACCCATCAACCCGAAGCCGCAGGGAGTCAACTGTGAGCTAGGCCAAGCAAAGAGAGTCGGGAATATCACTCCGACCAGCGACCCAGCGACGCTTTCGTTGCTGCTCTTCCTGCTTGTGTCTGCTTGCTCATACCACCAAGAAAGCATGTCCAGTGCAAGGCCGGAGCCACCCTCGATACTAGGTTACTAGATTCGAGCCTTGAGAGGCAGCACGATGCGGGGCGAGACTTGTTCACGTCGAGCCTTGCCATCGAGCTATTTTCGGAAGTCCAGGGGGATCCGCTCAGTTCCTGCATCATGAATTCCGCTGCTGGTGCTGCGACTGCTGCTGCTGCTATCATCATTCATCACTATCATCGAATCACCATCACCATAATCTCCTCATGCTATCATGTGTGGTTGTTGGCAGTTCTTGCTAGCAACAGCAACTCCTTCCACAAGTTTTTGCCGTGTTGAAGTTCGTTCGGGGTGCCTGGATGCGGTAACGCAGAGAAAGTAGGTCGCACGGCCTTCAGTAATCTTTATATGCTTGAGTGGAACGGCTCAGGAGTATGCGGAGGACACGCAGCAGGCTGAGCCTGTGGTAAAGGTCGCCGATGCCGTGAAGCGTGGAAAGGTGCAGGAGTGGGAAGCAGAACATGAGTTGAGGCATGTTTCTGCATAGCTTCAGGCATTTTCTATTCGACTCCCTTCTGTAGGTGATCTGGCAGTTTTGAATTCTTAGGGGTATGGTAAGATGTGATCTAAGATGCATGTAGGAAAGTTTGGGAGCCTTCGTGATTCCTGCATCAGGATTGTGATCCGAGATGCTCCGGTGAAATTTCCAAAACATGGGCTGCACAGCTTAGGAGCCCTTGTAAGGCAACCTCAGCAAGTATATAGTATAAAATAATAGAATATAGTATAATATAATGTAAAGCGATTTTTGCAAAAAACAAAACAAAGGAGCGCCATGGGCCTCTCTCCGTCGGCAAAGCCCGGGGTGCAGCGGATCTGACCACGGTGGAAGGCCTTCTCGGGTTTCGAGTTTTGAATGACGAGCCTGAAAAAACTCGCATCGTTCTGTGGAGGACTGGTAATGGGGTACAGAGGGTATCATATTCGGCTGGTTTCAGCTCCTGACGGCTCGTGAGGCAAGTTATCTTCTGCCGGTCAGAAGCACTTCTACTTGGAGACCCAGACGACCTATGCTTATCCAGATGGCATGGGTGGCACCTGGGCCTGGAGAAGAACGTTTTGTTTTGAGTTGTAGTCTGTTCTTTTGCTCGCCGGACTTGACCCCCTTTTTTGCTGTGCCTGTGTGTCACTGCAGACAACCGAGCATCAGAATTCATACGCCAATGCACCAACCCTTTCTCTGCAGACATACGAGCCTAGAAATGACTCGTTGCAGGACTCGTGGTGAACAGCTCCTGTCAAACCCTGGACTGGGCACAAACGATGTTGTGCAAAGTCTTCCACTTGCCGAAGAGCAGCTTGGCAACAGAGACTCTGCTTCGCAGACCCGTGACCTGGCAGGGTCGCGACTCACGGGATAGTGCCAGCCGACCTTGCACGCCGATGCCAGGCAAGGTCACCGTGCAGAACCAGCGTATCGGCGGCGCCTACGGTGGGAAGGCCAAAGCTGCAGGTTGAAGTACCCCCGCGTACTGTAGAAATACTCAGCGGACCTTCCCCGGAGTTCGAAGCCCTTCGCTGCTACGCCCGATGAAACCGAGAAAGCCCCTTAGAATTGCGGCAGGAATGATTTCGAGCCCCACAAAGCACACGTCTAATTGAAGTGAAGTTGACGCAGAACCCTGGAAAGGCAATGCTGTTCGCGCCTGTTTGTGCTGCCACAGCAGTGGCCGCAATGCGCACCAAGCGTCCCGTGATGGTGCAGTTGGACAGGCCGGCGAAGAGGGCATGGTTTTCGCTTGTCTTCTGTGCACTAGCAGCGATTCCACTCGGTCCGCTCTTCACATGAGACTCCCATTTATTCTTCTTGGAAATAGTATTTATATTAGAGTCTATAATATTATATACTTAATATATTATATTATATTATAATATATTATATTAATAATATACTCGTAACATTAAAGCTCAGGACGCCGGACTTCCGGTCGCTGGGTGCCCGCGCCCCCTTCGAGGCCTCCTGGAGCTGCAGCGCCTTGGACCCGGAGAGCTCGGGAGCTTTGGGCTCGTCCCGGGAGGGTTTAGGGGGTTTACGGGGCCTAGGGGATTAGGGTTCAGGGTTCAGGGGCATTCTTGAAATCATCTGAGGCTATGACGTCTCCAGCGGGAAGATCAGCAGCCTGAAGCAGGCGGGGAGAGGTGGGTTTGAGTGGGGGGGGGGGGTCCCAAGTCTTCTCCCTTCCCAGACGATGCAGGCTTAGCGAACCGAGTTGTCAGGGACTTGGTACTGGTACCTTGAATCTCTTGAGCCCCAGGACATCCTGCAGAACGTTGGCTTCGACATGCTGGGTTTCTCCCAGGCAAGCAGCGTGACATGGCTAATGGCTGGTTCCTCTGGTCGGGATCGCATCATTCGCAGACAAGCTGTGGTGTGACTGCAGCTTGGGGAAACCTGTGTGGAGTGCAGCATGCCATGAAGCTTTCTGCATGACCTGGCACGTTCTAGAATGGCGATTGCTGAGGTGAACTGCTACGACATTCCCCACGCACAGCTCCACTGCAAAGGCTGGTCGAAGCAGAAAAGCCTCGTTCTGTCGACGACATGCGACAGACATGGTCTGCTGTTTTTCATGGTGAGCATTGCTGTTTAGGGTTTCCGCCACGGCACCCGACAAAGCATGGCATCACTTCCTCGTAAGATGCATTGTATGAGAGGGGTTCTCAACACAGATGCTCCCTCATGAAAGGTGCAGTCACCGACCTGCCGTGCAACACTTGGATGCGTGCCCTCCGGCTGAGAAGCGAACCAAAAACTGCGAAGTTCGTTGGGCATCTGATTCCGCGTCGCTTCAATGTGCGTCTATCGAGAGGCGTTGATCGTAGATCCCCAGGCTTTGGCTGCATACTGCTGCCTGCAGGGCAGAATCATCTCACGACTCAAAAACGCTTGCAGCCCAAGAAGCCCCAAGTCCTCGATTCTGCAAATTCAAAGGCTCCTGGTGATTTCGAAGGGGCCATCATCATGGAGGCCATCATGGAGCAGGCGGTCTTTGGAGTCCTGGAGCTGCCGGCACCAGCGCGACACCATGCAAATTGTCAAGTCTCTGGCCCGAGTCAGAGTGCCAGGGCCGCTAGGGTGTTCGTCAGAAGATACTTTCGTGGTTTGCAGAAGAAGATGCAAGCCCCTTAATCAATCGAAATGTTGCATCCCCTCTTTGGGATGCTAGGCTCGTGTTCCCCGCTTACTTAGCTTACTTGGCACTTGGCCCCTTGTGGAACAGGTGGCCAGAGCGGCGCAGAAGGAGCTGCCTCCCGAAGCTATGTTTGCTGCTTGTGGGAGCTCGCAGAAGAGAGCCGTGTTTTAGGCTAGGAGCCATCTCGGATCCTCTTCCCCAAAGCCGTGGTGCAAGCCTTACAGGTAAAAGGGAAGCCAGAATTCCTAACCCCAGCTGTTTCTCTGCCTCTGCAGGAGCCCTGGCAGCTCCAGGAAGCCAACCTGGCTCCAGGCATGGTCAAGGCAGGGCAGAGAGGGTTCAGAGGGTATAATGAGAGGGGCTTGGGTATGTTTCGGTCGTTTCCTGCTGAAGGATGGTCACGGCTTATGGCCTTTGAGGCTTCAGTGAAGGTGTCCCGAAATTGCAGACATGCCAGCAACGAGCTGATTCGAGCAGGGTTTTCGCGTCAGTGTTCAAAGACTGCGGGTTATTTGCATGTGTCGTGGCCGGTGGCCGTCTTCACATCACGGTCACACTACCGCGAGCACCAAGCTCCATTAGCTGGAGCCCTGGATGTAAGAAGAAACTCCCCACCCGCGAGGCTTGGCAGGCACTGATGCTCGGCTGTTCCTCAACGATGTTCGCTGCTTCAGCTGGAGGTTGTTTTAGCTCTTGAGGTCGGTCGGAATGGGCAGGAACATCAAAGCTCACCCTAAACCCTAAAGCCCTAAACTCATCTCAACCCCTAACCTAAATAAACCCTGAAAAAAAAGCACCGATGCCTAGACCTCTGAGCCCGAGACCCAAGAAAAGGCCAAACAAAAGATCCTTTGAAGCTCAGGAAGGCCAAGTCGAACTTCGACATGGCAAGCGCTGCCACCAAGGCCTTCAACGAGGCGAACCGCCGCTTCGGCAGAAGGTTTCAAAGAGCACAATTACGGCTTGGGGGTTTATCAGGGTTTAGGGGTTTGGGGTTTTGCGGTTTGGGGGTTTAGTGGTTTAGGGTTTGAGAGTTTAGGGGTTTCGGGCTTGGGAATGTAGGGTTTAGGGGAGCCTGGCAGTTTGGGGTTGCGGGGTTGAGGGTTCAGGTTGGGCTTCGTGGCTTTGGGGCGAGGCTGCTGCCATCCTGGGAACAAGGAGAGCTGGGAGAAGGGCAGCAGGTGAGGGGGTGGCTTGGCGGGTACTTGCGGTGGTGGCTGTCATGAACAGGCTCATGTCTCGTGACGTAGCATGTCTGTGTGGTTTGTGGGGATGAAAGGTTCCTCTGTAGGATTCGAAAGCGAGCAGGGAGTGAAGGCAGCAGTTTAGCTGCAGTGCAGAGACCCAAAATTTAGCAGATACTGATTCCAGGATGCAGGGGCGAGCTGAGAGTTGAGTAGCTCCAGTTCCCTGCACAGTTGGCTTCAATGATCGTCTCAGGATATCGCAAGAGGGGCATCTATTGCAACCTGGCCGACATGGCAACTGACAGGAAGCCGGTACAGAATTTGTCATTGACGGGCTTGGCAGATATCGTACATGAACAGCAATGGAGGTTCCCAATCAGCGAAAGTTGGTTTTCTTGTCCCTCCCTGGTGGTTGCAACAGGGCTCAGTTACGCTGATCTGTACTCACGTATGGGGGTGTCTATCCACTGAGAGGCATGGGCTCGCGCTACAAGCTCCCCCCGGCGCAGTGGACCGAAAGATGTTATCTCAGGCGCGCACAGGGCTCCGTGATACTGTTCTTGGTGATGGTGAGGTTGGTGATCGTGATCATGATGACCACGGTACAGATATGCACTAGGACTAGGAGGCGAAGCAGGAAGTGGGAAAAGAGGAGGAGGAGGAGGAGTCAGCAGAAAGTGGCCTCAGAAGCAGTAGCATGTGATGTGATATGTGGACCAGCTCAGCACAAGGGCCAACCTGTGACACCATGTAAATGCGCTGTAGCTCCTATAGCTGTCCCAGCCAAGGCGCGGAAGCCTGAGGTTCGCGACCCACCTCAAGTCAAAGGCGTGTCGTAGCACCACAAGCTCAGTCCTGCGTGACCCTGCAGGCCCCCCCAAAACGATTTACACTCGTGATGTTGAGCTCACAATCGTGGGAACTGCCTGATGCAGCAGATTTGCTGAGCCGTGCTGCAAGGATAAACACGGATGGTTCTGTCGTCTTGGAGCACAGTGGTCTCGAGGCCCGGGTTGACAAAGGCTCTTCGATTTTGCACAGCAAAGAAGGATGTGTGCTTTCGCGACGGATCAGATGTCCTCAATTCTAACTTTTCTTTGTCATTGGCATGGCTCTGCTTCTGTAACCGCTGTTCTTGCATGTTGGCATAGTACTAGTAACTAGTATGAAGCCATGCGAAGCATCGCTGGCTGTTCTCTCCTGGCAGGTCGGTCAGGGCATGGACACCAAGGCTCTCCAGGCCCTGACCATGGAGTTGAAGAAGATCGCCGTGTCTTGGCCAGGGTTTGGGGATGGATCGCTGGGTTTAGTGTTCTTTAAAGTTCTTTGTTCCGGGAGACGGAAGGACATTGGACAACTCCGGAGAGGCTGCCGGAGAGGTCTGGAAGTGCAGCAGCACATAGTGGGGCAGTCGGATTTATGGGTTCAGCTTGCAAGGTGCCCAATGAATCGTCATATTGCATCAGAAGCTTGGGCCTGTTAAGCGGATTGTGCAGACGACTATGCGTAAGCACTGATATCAGTGTGAGCAACAAGTACGATACCCTGAGGACAACTACTAATAACCGTTCAGCAGTTGCCATGATAATCAGCAGTAGCAGCTTCAGAGCGCTATACTGACACTGCCGCAATGATCGTGCTGCCATCTCCATCATAGCCATGCAGAAGCAGTAAGGTAGTAGCAGTAGTAGTAGCAGTAGTAGTAGTAGTAGTAGTAGTAGCAGCAGCAGCAGCAGCAGGAGAAGGAGTACTAGTAGTAGTAGTAGTAGTAGTAGTAGCAGCAGTAGTAGTAGTAGCAGCAGTAGCAGCTGCAGCGGTCGTGGTTGTCCTCCTCGTCTTAGTCGAGCTGCTGCTGCTGCTGCTGCTGCTGCTGCTGCTGCTGCTGCTGCTTGCAGTGAAAGTGTGTGGGGGCGTGTTATTGTTGCTGCTGTTGCTCATCATCATAGTCTTCGAAGTCTTCGTCTTCTTGTTCTTCTTGGCGATGTCTTGCCGTCGTTGTCGTCGCTATCGTATCCCATAAGCAAACCGGAGCAACCCTGCATCTGAGACTGACTTCACCATGGACAAGATCAGCATCCGCATGCCGAAGAGCACTGCCGACTTCAGCTGGGCAGGCCATTGGTTTGGCTGAAGATGAAACTGCGGTTAGTCTGTTTTGCTTCTGGTCTTTTCGTCATGTTAGTGTTTTGACGGCTTTCGGACGTCATGCCCGGCATTGGAGGCATCACGGGCACCTATGGCAGCTGCACCTCCGAGACTGTGGTGCCTTTGCTGAGCATCAAGTCCGGCATGCCACAACTGAGAACACCAGACTTCGTCACCTCACTTTACACTCTTGTTTCCTGAGTGCGGAGGTCAGCGCCATCTTGGATGCTGGTGGAAAGCTGCAGAAGGACGGGATATTGCGTGGAGCGATATGGAGACTGAAATGTTGCTTTGTCCTCCTTCCAGCAGTTGTGCAACCCTCCGACTTTCCCGTAAGGTTGACATATCAGAAGATCATCATCACTGGATGCATGATTACCTTCACGACAGTGATCGTCGTGCCATCATTGCAATCATCATCTTCTTCTTCTTCACCGCCACCGCCACCACCACCACCACCACCACCATCATGGCATACTCTGACACTTCCACCAGGAGCTCGCGCCCTACACCACCTCCGGCAAACCGTGGGCCCAGGCGAAGCTGCAAAAGGAGGGCTTGCATCTTCAGCCGAGGGATGTCAGGGTGGTCATCGGGAAACCCAAACGTTCTTGCCCGATAAGCCGTAATTAGCTATGCCAAGCGAGCGCGCTCGGATAATGCGGACGGAGCTGACAGCGCAAGAGCATAAACTATTACTGGTGCTGCTTAGCTTGTACTTGTATTGTGATGTCGTTTACGGCACTTCTTATTCTGAACATTGCAGTTCTTGCTGTTTGCGATGTGCTGACGTCCCTGCAACACCTACCCGATCCAGGTCGTCAGCGATGCACTCAAAGCAGGTGCGACCCTCTACCAGGCCAGGCTGCGATTCTCACCAGTACCGTCATCGTACCAACATGACATAATGATGAGGACCATGATTGTTTCCTTATTGTCGACACACTACAACAACTGAGTAACTGTCATTGCAGCAGCACTACTACTGATGAATGGTCGTCCTGATCTATCTTTTATTGTCTTATGGCTAATGTCACGAATGTCAAGTTGTCATCACACTTATTAAATCTGCTAGCATGCTAGCAGTAGCAGCCGCATGTATCTGTCATGGTTGTCGTCTCATAGTTTTGTCGTCGTCTGGTAGTCTTGGTCTTGGTTGTGGTGGTGGTGGTGGTGGTGTTGGCGGTGGGGGTCGTCGTAGTAGCACTAGCAGTAGTGTGGTTTTACTTGTAGCGTAGTAGCTGAGTAGTAGTAGTCGTAGTCGTCGTCGTCGCCGTCGTAGTAGTGGTAATATCAGTAGTAGTATTGTCGTAGTACCTCTACCGCTGCCCCTGCTGCTGCTGCTGCTGCTGCTGCTGCTACTGCTATTGCTACTACTACTACTACTACTACTACTACTGTAGGGGTTGCGGCATCGTCCTTTTGCAGGAGGGTAAGACGAGTGTCGCGAAGGAGCCTCTGCCCCTCTTATGCATCTGGAAGAGGTTTTGGGGCTCTGGGTCACGGTCCTATAGTACCTAGACTACAGATTTCAGTTCAGGATATGTCTGGTAGGGGGATGGGCCAATGGGAGGACGATTCGGGGATACGACCTCGCACGTTTGAAGATGGAGGTTGCTGGGCAAGCTTGCTGATTCTGCAGTTCTTAAGCGGCTTAACGCGAGTTCTCCTGTCGCATGAGAGTTCCGCACTAGGCCTCGGCCCAAAGCGCAGAAACTCGACAGGCAGAAGTAATGCTCTAACAATTTGCTGCCACCGGCCCCTATACTGAATGCACATTTGACCCACTGCTGCACCTGCACGAAATAAAGGTTTACAGCTGTTTGGAGCGAGTTCGAAAGAAGCAGGAAGACTAAGAGAAGGTGCTGGGCTTCCCAGCGTCACGGGTTATCTTGCCAAAGCATGAGTCGCATTAGCAAGAGCGGATGTTGAAGCCGCATGGCCCCGTGGCCAAGGCCTAGTCATCCCAGCTGTGATCTCTTCTTGCTGACCTCTGATGCGCAAAGCCCATACACCGAGCCATTGCTCATAATCTCACGAAGGTCTGACTATGACCTGTTCAGCGCAGGTTGTGCCCAGGCTTGGCTTGGGGCTTGCGGGCCCATGTTTGCAGAATATTTCTTGTTTGTGTCCTTTAGCCGAGCGAGGCTGGGGGTTTAGGTTGCGGATTTCGTCGGTCGCAGGCCTGCGGGGCTCAACTGCGGGGCCTTAGAAGCCTTAGATTTTCGACGCTTTAGGCGAGCTTTCTGCATTGGCGAAGGTGGAGATCGATGTTTTGACCGGCGAGACCCAGGTGTGACATGGGGTCCTCACACCGTGAAGTGAACCAGGCAAGTACGAACAGAATGAAGCGAACTTAGAGCTGCTGGGCCAGATTTGTGTCATCAAAGATGAGGCTGCAATCTGAGATCATGTGTGGATTGCTACTCCTCCAAGATTCGAATGGAGTGTTGTCAGGAATCCAGGTTGAAGTCTGCCATGGCAGGTCCGGTCCTTCGACGTTGTCTACGCCTCTTGGCTGGCCGTTGCTGCGGCAGGTGTCGATGTTATTATTGCCATCCTCTCGCTGTTGTGCAAAAAGCCAAACCCGCGTAAAAGAGGCGTTTCGTTATCAGAAGAACTTGAGGGTATTTGGGTGGTAGAGCCACTTTCATTCCCGAGCGACATCCCCTCCCGCCTCCTGCGGGGTCGTCGTCGGAACCTTGTGCGGGTCTCGCGACAAGACCAGAATCGGTGTTGAAGAGTGGTGCAGTCTCATAATCCGTCATTCAAACATTAGGAGCCCTCAGATTCCCTCAGCATGCAAGAGGAGGTCAGCCCTGCTTCGCCCCAAGTTCGGGAGCATCCCAAGGATTGTGGCAAGAGCTTGAATCCGGCCGTGGACATCGGCCAGATTGAGGTCGGCCAAGCGCTCTTCCCAAGCAAATCGCGCCCGCGGAAGTTCAGCAGTGTGGCAGTGTTCTCATGTCTCCGGCCCATGGCCTGGCAGGGCTGCGTGATCCAGGCCTTGGGCTTCGGCCTTCTGGAGGAGGAGAGTGCAGGTTGCGAGAGAAGTCTCGGTTCACGGACGCTTGCCGCTGACATGTGAAGTTTGCTAAGGCGTGAGTCTCGGCTGGTGTCATGGTCTGTGCAGCTTTGGCGGTGTGGTTTAGGCATCCGAAGGACCCGATGACTCGAGCAAAGTAGCCTTCTCGACCAGGAGAGCCGGAGACCAGACGGTGGGCTCATCAACTGTGGTACTTGGGCCTCTTGCCTTCAGCAGGGTCTCGTGCTCTCAAGCTGGAGCTTAACTATATATGATGAAGTGGGACTAACGGGAGTTTTGGCGTGTGCACAGTATGGTCTAGAGGGCTCCTGGCATCTCGTACAATCGAAGCCCTTCTAATCCGTCGGAGAGAGTTCGCCAGATCGACTGAGGAATACAAAGTTCCCAGCGGCCAAGACATTCCGGCCCGATGCTGATTTTGTCTGCACCATGTCTCTGCTTGTTCAATGCCTCGGCGAAGGCCTTGCCAGGTGAAGGTGGTTGAACACCACGGCAGCCGTGGCATGTGGCTTCATTTACTCCATGACTTGCTTTGGGATGCTGCCCATAGAGCCGTGCTGCAGCTCAGGGCTTTGCGGCCTGTAGTATTATCGTATTAGTGGCGATCATGCCACTGGGTAGCAACGTCGCCATGGCTTTCGCCCTGGCGGCATACCGTTGGGCGGATCACCGCCGAGCGGCTCGTGCAGTGGCAATCGCGGTGCTTCTTTTGCTTGCGCGCCTCTGGCAGGGCGTGCAACGACGATTGTATGGTGTCCACCGCATCAGGCTTCCATTGAAGACTTTGCTTCCCCAAGTGCCGGCAGCGGCACCGGAGACAGCAGCGTGTCAAGGCAATGATTGTGGGGCGGACGAAGTGAAAGCCGAGGGCGCAGAAGTCTTGTCAGTGATCTACCAGTGCACGGAATTCCGGGTCGGGGATTATGTGACTTACCCTGACGACCACCGCGGCCAGATCATTGGTATCGATGGAGATGGAGACGTGATTGTGCGTACTACTGGCGGCCGCGAGGCTGTTTGGTACGTCAACAAGTGCACCAAAGCCCTCAGCGCGGGGGACAGAGTGCAATACCCTTGTGGAGAAGTGGGCTCCGTGATGGCGTGCGATGAAGACGGAGACCTGCATGTGCAAAAATCAGACGGATCCAGCGCACGCTGGTTTGCCCAAAAGTCGACAAGACTTCTCAGCGTCGGAGATGCGGTAAAGTGGACCGTCATTGGCTTTGATGCAGACGGGGATGTGATGATCGTTACACCAAGTGGACGCAGGGCCACCTGGTTCGCGAACAAGTGCGTCTGAGTTTAGCGGGTCTTTTCATTCCTTCTCTGTCCTGTGCACGGTGCGTTGAACATACAAACACAGCCGCATGCAGCTAAATCTTGCAGCGTTGTCGACTGTTTTCGCACATTGTTTCACCTGGGCTGCGGCTTGAAGGCAGCAGAAATCGCTTCGAGTTGTGAGCTGAAGAGCCCTTTGCGGCGGTATGGAAAAACGAGCTTCGATGGGAAGGAACCAGTGCGACCAGTGCAGTGCTGTCCGATTCGATACTGCGCAATGCTGCCCATGGAGCCGTGTTGCAGCTCAGGGCTTTGTGGCCTGTAGTATTATCGTATGAGTGGCGATCATGCCACTGGGTAGCAACGTCGCCATGGCTTTCGCCCTGGCGGCATACCGTTGGGCGGATCACCGCCGAGCGGCTCGTGCGGTGGCCATCGCGGTGCTTCTTCTGCTTGCGCGCCTCTGGCAGGGCGTGCAACGACGATTGTATGGTGTCCACCGCATCAGGCTTCCATTGAAGACTTTGCTTCCCCAAGTGCCGGCAGCGGCACCGGAGACAGCAGCGTGTCAAGGCAATGATTGTGGGGCGGACGAAGTGAAAGCCGAGGGCGCAGAAGTCTTGTCAGTGATGTACCAGTGCACGGAAATCCGGGTGGGGGATTATGTGACTTACCCTGACGACCACCGCGGCCAGATCATTGGTATCGATGGAGATGGAGACGTGATTGTGCGTACTACTGGCGGCCGCGAGGCTGTTTGGTATATCAACAAGTGCACCAAAGCCCTCAGCGCGGGGGACAGGGTGCAATACCCTTGTGGAGAAGTGGGCTCCGTGATGGCGTTCGATGAGGACGGAGACCTGCATGTGCAAAAATCAGACGGATCCAGCGCACGCTGGTTTGCCCAAAAGTCGACAAGACTTCTCAGCGTCGGAGATGCGGTAAAGTGGACCGTCATTGGCTTTGATGCAGACGGGGATGTGATGATCGTTACACCAAGTGGACGCAGGGCCACCTGGTTCGCGAACAAGTGCGTCTGAGTTTAGCGGGTCTTTTCATTCCTTCTCTGTCCTGTGCACGGTGCGTTGAACATACAAACACAGCCGCATGCAGCTAAATCTTGCAGCGTTGTCGACTGTTTTCGCACATTGGTTTCACCTGGGCTGCGGCTTGAAGGCAGCAGAAATCGCTTCGAGTTGTGAGCTGAAGAGCCCTTTGCGGCGGTATGAACAACGAGCTTCGATGGGAAGGAACCAGTGCGACCAGTGCAGTGTTGTCCGATTCGATATTTCTCCGACATCTCACAGCGCTCCCCGGCTTGCAGACCCTGATGTGAGGTGAGATTCACCGTGGAGCTCCTTCCCTGCGAGGACCTTTCGCAAGTCACTAGCGCCGATCGTGGCAGGGTGGTAGCCGGAACGCAGCAAACAGCTAGAACACCAGGATCCAACATTGCAGTGTAGCCCCAGGGCTCAGAAAAAGAGCAACGCAAGAACCCCTCGTAATGCCGGTGTCATAGAATCCTTGGAGTACCCCTATTACACGGGTGGTTCTCTAAATTAGGGGTCCCCGGTGTAGTACGGCACCATGTACGGCACCCTGTAGTACGGCACCCTTATTATAAGAAGCACTCCAGGAAGGACCCCGATTTAAAGAAGCACCCATGTTTTGACAGTTTTCAGAGTTTTCAGAGGACCCCACTGCTCCGGTGATGGGCTCCAAGGCCTCTGGCGAGCCAGCCTTTGACCCAGCTATGGCTTAGGGTCTTAGCAGAAAGGGTGATAGCAGGATGTCCTGTAGGCATTAATTACTGATTTTAGTGTAAGGCTTTAGGCAAGTCTTGCGTGAGCGCGTTTTTGTGCGTGTGTATATTATTCGCAGAGATAAGCTGTGGATATCTTTGCACGTCGAAATGCACACATATAGACTCACCACATACTATATATATATACACACACACACATGCAGAGTCATGCATACGTATATGCAGAGGCGAGACCCCACGGCATGAGCTGTAATCAGCAAACAGATTCAGAGCAGAATTTGTAGTTGCTCGGAAACAACAGGACAGATTATTGTTTGCACCAGAGAAATCATCACCAACAAGAAGGGCACCGCACAACCACCACCATCAACACCGTCATCCTCATCATTATCCTCCTCCTGGTCATCACCGTCATCATCACCATCAGCATGATGATGATGATGATGATGGTGATCATCATCATCGGTACCAGTGCCATCATCACCACAACCACCAACGTCACCGTCGTCGCCAAGATCTTAAATCAGCCGTCAATGGACACTCACCATCATCAGGTTCTTCATCGCCATCGCCAGTGCCATCATTGGTCAACAACAGCGCCACAATTTCACTGCATGCATCACTGGTATTTGTTGTTGGGACTAGTGCGAAAGTTCGCTTCGAGTGGTAGTGGCATCAACGACATGGTCGAACGGTAGTAGTCCCGTTAGTCTTAGCCGGCGATGATGATTTAATGTTGCTGTCGGTAGTAATTACCAGTACCATGATGACACGTAACATGGCTCATGTGAGTTGAAATCTCAATGCCGTCACCCCAGGCCATGCTTCTGGGTGGTGCCACCTTCTTCGCAGCGACTTGCCTTGTTTTCAGTGAAAATCCTGCGTTCGATTGTGGATGTTTCCCGGAATGATGAGCGGAACCACTGGTGCAGCTGCACACCATTCTCGGAAGTAAGGTGAAAGATGCCATCGGCAGGGGGCCTAGCCCGACGTAGGGGTCCAGCATCGCCCTCGACCGGTTCAAGTCGCAGTATCCTTTGCTCGAGAAGTAATTCAGACCTCCAAGGTTACGCCCGCGCAGACATGGGCCTCAGCCGTGAATTCCGCCTCGACCCTCCGGCATCGCCAGACAGGTTCGCGTTCCGGTTGTAGGGAGGGAGCGCCATCCAGCATCCCGTGCACGAAGAGAGTCTCTGAGTAGTCTTTGACAGTATTTTGCTTGCTGCTGCCGCGCCAGGATCCAGGCTGCTTGCGGCACCAAGATGCCAAGCTGAGGGGCCCCAACTGCTCGCTGGTTCATCCAAGCCAGTTGTCACCCCAACCGATGCGGTTGTGGAAGCTGTCCAGAGAATTCTCGTGCCTGGAACTTTGTGAAACGAAGCTGTTGCAAATCGGAGTTTGGGAGGTTGCCCAAGGCCCAAGAATGTGACCGCAGCACGCAATCCATGTTTGTGTCTTTCCATCACATCGGCCCGGCTGCCCGTCGGAAGCCGGATTGCCGGATATCCATGGCCCGGGCCTCCGCTGTTTGGGCCTCTGAGTTCGGCCCGAGGCCTGGCTCGGTTCAAAGATTCAGCGATTTTCGGCCAACTGCTCAGCCGCTTGGGCTGTGTGGCGTGGTCCGTGCCATCCGAATCGGAGAGCGACCAGGATGAGCTGACAGGCTGAAGGGCTCGAATCCACAGCATTTGCCCTTGCTCCTGCTGTCGAGGTCACTTGCAACTCAGGGTTGACTCTACAGCGTCCGCAAACCCGAATTGTGCTGTGTTGTCAGTTCACAAGCAATGGCACGGCAACGCGCCCTTGACAGCAGGCAGCTTCGAAAGCCTAGGAGCCGCGAGCAGCGACGCACCGGGGCAAAAGAAAGTCTCCAGTGGCCACCTCCCTCCCTGCACTTTCCGATCTCATTCCACGGCTCCACAGGCCATGGAGGAAGCCGAAAAGAGCAAAAGCCTGCTTCCCGTTTGCTGCAGCGCTCTGTGCAGAAGCACACCCTGTACTTCGCCGAAGCACGTGCCGATTCGTATCTCTTGTCGCGCTTGCCCCGAACGCCGCCCAGGCCAATATACTGCGCAGCTGGAGTCCTTGCGACAGGAGTTGCGCCATTGTCGATGCGTTAGTTGTTTGGCTTCGATCTCGTCTCCTATTACCTGAGCTGGTCGGCAAAACGAACAGCTCCCAATCAACGCATGGGACTTGCGCTGCATGCATCATTTTAGGCGTTCCACAGCTCTCCATGCCCATATCAAGTTAGTGCACTTGTACTTGCAGACATGCAGGAGAAGGACCACGCTCGCAGTGAGGCCTGCCTGGTGTTGGCTGCACAACCCTGCATTGACACAATTGGCGGTTCTTTGACGTGAGCGTGCCAGGAGGATCCGCATGTGGGTTGTACTTGTTAGATTCTGCCGCCATGTCAAAGCCTACATCTATGGGGCACCGCCCGATTGTAGTCTTGCTTCTCTCTTAACTTTTGTTGTGGCGTTTCGGTAGAGTCCCATGTTGTTATGGCAACATTGTGTTGATATCGCAAACATCCGGCCTTCCTGACGGACCCAAATTGCGTTCACGCTAGCAGCTACGTGACTTCAAGGCGAGCGCAAGGTCCTGCTATGCGGATGCCTCTTGCTACATCAGCATCAGAAACGCGGGGTGGAGGACTCCTCCGTGACGTGACTTGCTCTCCTGCCACGGTAGCTTACACGGCGCAAAAGACGACAGACGTGAGCAGATGTAGCAGACTATCACAATATCATGCAAGAAAGCAGAAGACAGAAGCATATTGTGGTTTCCGAACCGCAACCGAAGGTGGAGACCATGCGCAAGGCCGCAGACAAAGCCCACAGCGACGTGAAGGAGGCACCCTTGGCCCTTGGGTGTGTAACTCACTGACGAGCTATGATCTGTTCAGGGTCTTCCCCATGTTGTCCTATGTGGCTAGCGGTATATCATATCGAAAACCTACTTGAAATCACGGCTTGAGTCGAATCGATCAGATCCAGGCCCACACCGCCTTGGATTCCAAGGCCAAGGAGGCCTTGGGAGGGTCATAGAAAGAGAATGAGCTTGGGGTTCCCTTGCAGGGCTCCTGTCAAGATTACATTGCACCTTCGGAAGTTCATTGTCCCAGACAGGATCGCATGCCTCCGGCTAACAGTCGTGATTTCAATGTATAGTTAAGATGCTGGTACATGCACACCGCATGCCTGCACATGCATACATACATGCGTACATACGGACAGACATACATACATACATACGTACATACATACATACATACATACATACTTACTTACTTACATATATATATATATAGATACGCGCACACACATATATATATATATACACACATACACACATACACATGTGTGTGTGTGTGCTAATATGTATGTATGTATATGTACAGGCAGACAGGTTAGCAGACGGAGAGACTAGGGAAGCCTGCACAGACATATTAATTATATATATATGTAACATATCGGCATGCATGCATGCATGCGTGCATACATACATACATACATGCATACTTCAGTCCTCATGTGGATATGCGCTTTGCATTTTGGTGAGTGCACCGCTCGCAGGTCGAGAAGCTGAGAACTGCCGTGCAAAAGGCTGAAAGAGATGCCTTGGAGTCGGAGCCCTGGACAACGCTTCCGCGATGCACCGAACTGGCCACGGCAATGCTGCGCTGCCAAAATTGAGTGCAGGGGAATCTAGGAACAGAGCAGTATGTAAGGCAACGACAGAAGGCATGCGTGATAGCAACGCAAGGCACAAAGCTTCTGGCTGAATTTGTGTCAGAGCATATGCTAGTGGGGTCCAAGCACTGGAGCGTAAGAGTAGCTATAAACAACATCGGCAATATCTTCATTACAGAGAGGTTCTTCACCTGTCACACTGGAACACAAATCCGACACCCCCAAAACTTAAACGACCCCAAAACCATGAACAAGCAAGCATCTTGCAATCCAAAAGCCCCAGCAGGCCAGAAGAACACCAACACGTCCACATATATACATATATATATATATAGATAGATAGATAGATAGATAGATAGATAGATAGATACATAGATAGATAGATAGTTATGTAAAAATCCGGAAATTCTAAGCCCCCAAAGGGCCAAGGAAAGCCTCTTGAAACAGGTGGAAGGCCGCCGCAGAGCAGCGAGCGCAGGAGGTCTGGAAAGTCAGCTTAAGGGTTTTAGGGCTTAGGGTTCAGGGTTTAAGGGTTTTTGAAGAGTGAAGGCGGGTGATTGAAAGAAAATGGCTCTCTATCGTGTTGTTGTGGGGTCTTGCTGTCGGAATTTCGCAGGATGTTCGTCTCGGTGTCCCTTTCTCTGAGGGGGGGGGGGGGCTAGGGCCTATAGGGTTTGTAAGGTTTGAGGTTTAGGTTTAACCTGCCCTCTGTGGATGAGCCTCTGAGCAGAGGGATCATATTACAGTAGTGGTTTAAGCTCAATAGTGAAGACAAGGTTCATGATGACTTCCATGTCTACTGCATCCCGGACCATTGTGCCGAGTGGGTATTTACATGTATTGATGAAGAGATCGCAGTCTTTTGTAATTATCTTGGATTCTGATTGGTTTTGCAGGAATACATTGTACACACGCGTTTTTAATATACACATCTGTATGCATGTTTACATATATATATATACATACATACATGTATCGTCAATGCCTTTATTCAAACACTTCCATGCGCGAAGCAGTGACCAGGTCAAGGAGGTGCGTGTCGTGCAGGCCAAGAAGGACCGGCCGACCCGAAGAAGCCCCGCGTTCAGGGGCTATCCCGTGCATGGCAACAGAATGCAGATTCCCCAATTCAGGGGATCCTCAATCTGGGTACCTGCAAAGCCTCAGGACTTCAGGGCGTGGTTTCCAAGTTATGGTTTAGGGCTTGGGTGGAGTTGCTATGTCGTAGAGCTGCTGGCTTTGCTGCTAAGTGTAGACCTTCTTGGAAGATGTTTCAGCGTTGGTGACGTTGGCGCCTTGCGCGTCAGAAAATTATTGCTTGCAGACATTTATGCACGTGGAGTAATCCACTCCAGTCACATGTCTTAAGAACCCCAGTGTAGTATCCACACCAAATATTTAGGATGTTTCCTAGATAGCCACCATGCATCCAAGTCGTTCAGCCTGGCATGCTCAGCAATTCCATCGCAACACACCTCTTCCAGGTTGAGGGGTGGTTGTTGTTGTGATCGTCGCCGTCGTCGTCGTCGTCGTTGTTCTTCTTCTTCTTCGTCTTCTTCTTGCTTTTGTGGCTACTTGGGTTCACCGATACTCTAGGGTTCCAAACAGGCTGCAATCTTCCATTGGTTTAGTCCAGAAGAAGTTGCAATGCAGCGCTGCGAAAAATCTTCAGTTTCGGACTTCTGCTGCGGCACTGGAAATAGGAGTGCATCAGCACATACTTCCGCATGCATCTGTGCGCATGCGAGAGGCAGTATGATTATGCATTGCCTGCGCACGCCATGCCCCCGCTTTCCTCCCCAGAAGAGCATCCTAAGCAACAAAGAGGGTTGTGGCTCCCGGCATTTCATGCAGTGTGTAAGGGCAAGTGGGGACGATGTGCAGACTGCACAAATCCAGGGTTTCAGCAAACCTCTCTCTCGCAGGACACGACAGAGCTTGTCAAGAAGAAGGAAGAAGTCGCACAGGCTGCGCCGATCCCTTCAGAAAGTCTTGAGTTTCTGATAGCTGGCGGCCTGCCAGACCAGTACACAGCAGACTGGTGCAGCAGTACCACATCAGGCGAAGAAGTCCGTGGAGGACACCAGCAAGAAGTTGGAAGAGACCAAACACCAGCTGACAGAGGCGAACTTTGCAAGGGTGAAGTAGGTGAAGGCAAGAGAGGTTGGAACCTTGAACCCGTGCCAGGCATCGAAGAAAGTGACGGAAGCAGAGGCTGGGCGCGCAAGTTGTCGATTGCTGAACAGTGCGAGGATGGGATTTCGCGGATGTGCTCGCAACTGTCCGCAGTTCGGAGAATGGCGCTGAGTGAGATCAGATCAAGATCACCTCGCGTAGCTTTGACCTCAAGTGTCAGTGTTTGTGTGGCTGTAGACGCTTCGCAGGTAGGTGTAGAAGTCTGAGAGATCCAGATGAGCACTCCGCCTCGAAGCCTTCGAGACTACAATTGATATAGCCCCGGCGTATAAGACTACAATCGCCATAGCTCATGCCAAGTACCAGCCATATGCATTAATATATATATATATATTTATTTATTTTTTTTCCAGCCCTAAACCCGCAACCCGCTCCAGTTT